GTTTGCTTTTGTTCTTGCCCATTACAGCTTGCTTTTGTCACTTTTGTTTGATATTCAGTATATAAAGTCTGAATTAAATCATTCTCCTCATGTCCCCAAACTCTGGATTTTTAATTGCTAAAACGCATGGAAAGGTACAGCAAGACTGCCAGAATCCACATCCCAGAGTCACTTACCACAATTACTTGAATATTGAACGTTTTGTAGAGAAAAATCAATACTGGCTTACTGCAAATGCAAAAATGACACTGTAATCTTTCTCTTTTAGGGGAACAGTGGAGGCGCGCTTTGTTTACGTCTTCGTTTTGGGCATCCTCTTCACGGGCACCAAGGACCTGTTGCGATCCCAGATCATCACAGCAGATGCCAAGTTGAAGAGCAGGGGATTATGGGAGATTTACAGTGGCTTGGTTTTGTTGGTTTCACTGTTGTTTCGTGCTCACAATCTGCCAGTCCTCTGCTGCTCCTTGTTGATCCAGACCCTCATGGCTCAGTTTATCTGGAAGAAACTCCACTATGACGCAGCCCAAACCACCATCATGCACTACTGGTTTGGTCAGGCCTTCTTTTACTTTCAGGTAAGCAACAATAATGACGTCAGTGATGGCAAATTAAGATAAAATGGGAAAATTATGTGGCAAAATATATGATTTCCAATGGATTTGCTGCTATCAGTGATCAGATTTGATTACTGATCAGATTTGTGCTATGGTCCAATAGCAAACTAAACTTGATGAAGTTAGTGTAGCTCATTAGCTGTGTTGCTCAATCCACTGGTTAATGGTATGAATGAATGGATGATGGTTTGCAGACAGTTATGAGATAAGATTCAATGGTACAAATACGTCTTTTGAATAAACCCATGAACATATTGTCCTGTTAGCGATAAAGCTAACAAGCTTGCTAACTGACAGTTGCTCTATTACCTAAGTGGCAGTTAGCAAGTTTTCCCTCTTTTATGAAATTATGTACAACTTAAGAACATAATACCAGTGGGCAATAGACGTCACAGTGCAGAGAAAATAGAAAAAAGTTTGCCCACTATTATGACCAATAAGTGCTAGCATGTTCTCAGCTTTGTGTGTTAGTGGTTATCTTGCCAGTACAGCAGTTTGCTAACTATCTGTGTGAAAATCACTGCGTCATTAAGCTTCAAGGAAACACCTTTTTCACAAAGATGCACAGATTCATTCTGCTGTGCCACTTTATGATGTGACTGTGACTGGTTTCCTTTAACCCCTGACTGCTCCGGCTGCACAACAGCTGAGAACTGTGGTTGTACTGGACAACCTCTGGGTGTAAATGTGCGTTAACTGTGTGAGGACCTTCCTGAAGCTTAAAAAATGTGTGTGTAACAGCAGTGGATAGTAATAATTGGTGTTTTTTAGTGAAGGTGATTGTTTTGAGTTACTATTAGTCAAACCAGCTTGTTTGAACCCCCCACTGACTTACCTAGATTCACTTTGATTGTAGTCCAGACCAGTAAAATTCACCCTGCTGTAAATCTATAAAATAAGTTTTGCAGTTAAAAAACAATTATCAAACCATTACCAGTTCACAAATTACAACAATTTCACAAACTGCAATACATATTGGTGCTGACACCAAAAGTACAGATGTGAAGATGTGTATCACAGCCAAAATCACAACCTCCCATATCTATAAAAGGAACTTCAGGGAACAACAAAACAGTAAGCAAGGTTTTCTTGTCTGATTGTAAGAGACATCTAATTTAATGCTCTGACTGTGAGTGTAGTAACATTTTGCAAAGCTATCACTGCTGATAGTGTCGGACACCGTAATAGGAGCGGTTCTGGGCAGAGGAAGTGTTTAAATTATATTACCTTCATCCCACACTGGCATGAAGGTGAACTAGTTGTTTCCTGTGGAGGTGTTATGGTGTTATGAGCTATGAATGATCCTCCAAGGCAGATATGATACCTTCCGTTCGGTTTAACTCCACCCAGGACGGATATTTGGTTAGCAGATGTGTGTTGTTGTCAACGCTGAACTTCCACATCGCTAACAATTTAATAACCGGCATCACCCTTGGGTCATTAATACTTTGATGGGCTCGGGAATAGACCGCCACCAGACAATTTTCAGTGTAGGCGCCCAGGCATGTAATTACAGACCTTTGAGTAATAACATTCTCAACGAAGCCGTAACCATAATGGATCTGTAAAGTAGCGACATATGTGATTTAAATTTGCTGCTCGGAAACAAAAAGTGGTATCATGCAGAACAATCCAAATTATGTTGAATTAAAATCTAATCAGCGGGTGCGGTTACAGCTGATCAGTGAGCTCTGGGCTACAGATTGATCAGAGTTGTAAGATATTAATGGAGAGTTTAGAAACATGGCTTTTCTGTTTTCAGAAGCTTTATTATACATAAATATTGGCAGAAAGCTGTTGTTTTTTAAGTGTCCTTTTTTGTTGGCAAGCAAACACACAAAAGCTCAAGAGGATTTTGGGAAACATTCCAGGTAACCTCAGATGCAGACATTGCTAGTGTCACAAAAAAGTTAAATCGCATCACATGATGAATTAACTGTCTTGCTGGAGATGCCGTTTTGGCCGTCTGCATTTAGCTGTCTTGATCATTTGCAGTGATGGACGAGTCAGACTTTGCAGTGGATTTTCTGTGGATTTATCACCATCCCAAAACCAGATGGTCAGTAAAGCAACAAGGAGGTGTTTATTCTTCTGAAATGAGCCAGTTTCTGCAAATGTTGCCACATGAGTCGGGACGAGTCACCCCACGGGTAGGAATTTAGATGCAACTTAGCAACCTAGAAAACTATGAATCATCACAAGGATGTTTTTTAGAGCTTAGAGCTGAAAGGTGGACTCACATTTCATTAAGCTGACAAAAGTGACGTACGGTAAACATACAAATTAGAGCAGGGTACACACACTGAACACTATCCAGGTTGATAAACACCACTTTTAAGACATCAGTATTCAGACTTACCCCAAAACAGAGATGTGTTTCTAGTATACACTTCAGCAAAGAGCTATATTAGATCAGCCCCACTCTTTGTCTGAAACTCAGTCATAAAATACTTCTTGCACTTCCGTTTTTTTCTTTTTTTTTTTTTTTTTCAAAGGTGAAATGTTTGTCGATGGTGCAAAATGACACTCCTTACATTTGAATGATCACAGCAGGCTTTTCAGCAAGAAAGCAAGCAGAAAATATCCATATGCTGCCTCCAACCTGCTCACTGATATTCACTGCTTGTTTGTTTAAAATGAAGGCAGCTGTTAATGTTTTCTTCCTCTGTGATCGGAAATATTTGCACAGAAAACAAATGCACCATTACTTGATGTGTTGCTACTTATGGATCATCATTGCAGTCGGATTTAACCAGAAAGCCACCCTTGATCTCTGCTGCTTCCCAGGGATTTTTCTTTTGCTTGTGTGTGTGTGCATGTATAGAGTGGAGTTTACATGCCACAACCTGACAGCCGCAATGAATTGTACTAATTTTAAATGTTCTTATTGCCTTTTGAAACACTATAGATGAGCCAGTTTGAACTCGGTAGGAAAAGATGTGTGCAGACGTGACAATGTTTCTCTGAGCCGCTGTTCAGTGGCTCAGGTTGATTGATTTGTCTGAAGGCTGCATCTCAGAGGCGTGAACAGATTTCAGTAATCTCCAAGTGCCACCCAGAAATCAGATTAAGCACCTGAGCAGCACAAATTTGAACATGGATTACTTCGCCTGTATTTTTATTTATTTTTTTTAGCTTTTTGAACATAATTTTACAGTCCTTTTATTGTAAAGGTTAAGCTTTAGGGAATAGTTGGATTTAGTAATGTGTTTAGATTCACTGGAGCCTTTACCGGTCAAAAAGATTTTCACCTGCTTACTTCTGATAATCTGTATGGGCCACTTTATTTTCATATTCTTTCATTTTAAGCTATAATTATTCTGCTGGTTGAGTTTGTGATGAAACAACATCCTCAACATTTCAAGACAATGAAATGTGTCTTCATATCAGCACAGATTTTTTGAGTTGAGTTATAACGTTCGAACAAAAGCATCTTTCCTTCTGTGGAAATAGCCTATATTTACAGAACCAAATACCCTTTATATTGTGGCTATAAATCCTCATTGCATTGCAGTGATGAAATCTTCTAAAGCTTGAGATGAAACTTCAGAACAAGGAAAAAAGAAAATAAAACAAGGTTACAAAAGCATAATGTTTTCAGTTCTACTGTAGGCATATTTTGCTCGTTCCAGAGATACTGGAAATTGGTTGCAAAGTTAAAGATAAGAAAATACACTGTTTTTAAAAAACAACATTTCTTTGCTGGCACAAACACATGCACACTTACACAGTAGCCTTAGTGGTTCTAACAAGGGTCTATCTCCAGACAGAACGCTATATGTTGCTCAGGTCAGGGACTAGAAAACACAAACAACTGTGCTCCTGGGAAGTCGCCAGAAGCACAAAGTAATGATGATAAAGCAAAGGACCACTTCTTTACAGCTAAGAAATGCTTACAAAGCTTCATCCACAGATCTTTGTGTTCGTTTTTGTCTGTATACAGTGAGTTATTCCTGTGCCCATGGCGATGCTAAAATAAGCTTTCTTTGTGCTCCTGCAGGGAAATTCCAACAACATTGCCACTGTCGACATTTCAGTGGGCTTCATTGGACTGGAAAGTTACGTAGAAGCACCTGCCATCTTCTTAACGGCCCTCAGCACTTACGCGGGGCCCCTACTCTGGGCGTGTCACCTCGTCTGCTATCTCAGCTCAGAGAGAGACAAGTAAGTGTCAGATTAAAAGTTACTATATGGCAATGATATCCAACCAAGGGTTGTTTATACCCCGGGGTTACTCCTGCAGTTTCCAGTGGATACGTGGAAAGCTCAACTCATTAAGTCAACTAAACTCAACTGAATGATTTCATAAAATTTCTCCACATAACCGTGATGAGGAAAATCATCAATAACAAAATAGGATTACAAATTGGTGCTGATCTTTACGGCTATATTTAAAATAACCAGTAAAATGCCCAGTGACACTGACAACAGTCAGTTGTAAGAGAGCGTGAAAACAACTTAGTACACCAGCAGAGATGTTGACATAGTTAATTAAGTAATGGATAAAAGGTTAAATTACAGATTAGATAAATTAGAGTTAAAGGTAAAACGTAAGTTGTTAAATTAGCTAAAAGTAATGGATAGACTTTTATGAAACACCTAAAAGTTTATGAATAAACAGTTGAAATAGTTCAAATTAACTGAAATATTTAAAAGTAATGAACAAAGCATCTTGTGATGGTTAGCTTAAAATAATGAGTGAATTGTTAAAATAGTAAGTTAAAAATAATGCATATGTGTTTTGAACGGATTAGCTTAACATAATGAACAAATAGTTAAGTATTTAGCTAAAGGTAACAAATAAACAACCCAAACACTGTCATTAGATCTGATAAAAGCATTATTGTAACAGTAAGCTCTGATATAATTAATAGTTAAGTAACATCCAGTTTTATCCATTTATAAGAACACATTTGGAAGATGACAGGTGGTGCCATTGAAAGTGAACTTGAGCTCATCTGAGAGGGCTATAGGGGAACTACTGCACTATGATATTTAATTTAAACATGCTACTCTCTTCTACTTTGGTTTCCACCGTCACACAGCATCACTACTACAATTACTTTTGAGTGCCGGTTGTTTCCTTTTATAGTTTTTCGTTCTGAATCCTCTCCGTGGGTGAGACAGTACAGGTGCACAGGAATATTCTCTTAATTGGTTTACTCGTGGCAACGAGGAGACTCGCATGCAGGGTATCAGAGATGCATGTAAACAGCTTAACCTGCATAAGACCTTAACTGGAGAGAGGCCAGTAGCTGGGTTGCTGTATGTGTGTGAATGCAGCCAATAACTACAGCTCCCCTCAGCATGAGGCACAGGCACAGGCACAGTGCTGAGTGATGAGGACTGTGGCTGGGCAACAGCTGCCCTAATGCTGGAGCCAAAGCTGAAATACTCTTTTAATGTAGACAGAAGATGGTGTTTGTTTAAAAGAAGTTTGATTAACCTGCCTATATTGTTTAAGAGCCAGTGACAGAAATGCAAGGATTGGTCTAAGGCTGCAGCCTTGTGATAAAAAGTCACTACTTTATGGGGAATGTTTTATTTCTTTTTTTTGCTCGCACAAAGTCCCATGAAAATTAGACTGCAGAGGGTGTACATACCCATGCATGATTTATATTCTTAATAATCTTTGATCCCACATTCAAATATGATATGTTTAACATTTCAGTAGTCCAGACAGTCTCTGATTAAAAAGTTTGACTCATCTTAATTTTTTTTTGCGCTGCTAGCGGCAGAGCCTTGGGAAGTTGATCCTTTCGTCCATCCGACACTTTGGTCCAGAGCGGCTCCTGACTGGCCTGCCATGATATTTAATGTGGACATTAAAGATCCTCAGAGAATGACTATTGATATGGGCGACCTTTTCATTTAGCAGCTTAAAAATGTCTCTGTGATCCAACGTTTGATCCATCACTAGACATTACCAAAACCTCCATGAAAATTTCACCATCATCACCCCAAAATTTCCACTTTTCCATAAAATATAAAAATTTACTCAACTTGATTATAATGACCTCCATCATCTTTCCTGTAGCATCACTCTCAGGGGAATCTAAATATCTAACCCCACTAAGAGTAGAGGGGTTACAAATGAAAAAGTAAAGCCATGCTGAGATTGAAGCTACACCACAGTGAGCAAGGCAGAGCTGTGGAATAGCATTCATTTTCAACTACCAACAGGAACTCACTTGTTAGAAACATGACAGCGTCTCACATACAGTAGCAGAGGAAAACTGCTTTACAGTAACAACACCAAAGATGTGTCGACTACGTATGTTCAAATTGCTGCTTTAGCTCACAATTCAGACGCAGCTCATGCATTGATTTATGTCACTTGTGAACCTAAACTGTAACAACATCGCATGCAGACAGTAAATCGCTATTTAGACTGAATGATCTGCCAACAAGTGAAACCATTATGAGGAGGTGATGATGGAGCTATATTCACTGTGGTTTTAACAGCTAGATCACCAGCTTGTTGTTTGGCCAGCGCATCACTTTCATATTGTGTGCTGCAATGAACACTGCAGCCTCTAGTGGCCACTGCAGGGACTTTAACCTTGATGCCTCACAAGCTAATGTCACACTAAATCCTGCTTGTAGACATTACATACTGCATTACTCTGCGGGACACACGAGCATCTTTCTTTTGCTGTTGTTATTCACAGCGCGGTGCTTTCCACAGAAACCCCACCTGTAATGTGCACTCAAGACGTTGTGACAAATGAAACTCTAAAATAGCCTCATATACAGTAGCTCATTTAGGATTCACTCTGCACCATCAGCAGCTCGACCACAAGGCAAGTACTGGAAATGGGCTTTGATCAATAGCTTTTCAACGGGTCTCCCTTGACACAGTCTGACTCTGCTCAAAGCAATCACATAATTCAGAGAGAATGTTTTCATTGTTTTAGTGCATCTAATCACTGTGAACTAACACGTCATTTCAGATGAAGGGTACACATGTCTCATCAGCCTTTATATTTTATTATTTTATTACTATTATATGTAGTTCTGAGATTATTTTTTATAACTGCTACAATTAATCGATTAGTTGTCAACTGTTAAATTATTTGCAAACTTTTCTGATAATCAGTTAATCGTGAGTCATTTCTTAAGATGTTAAGTCTTTAATTTGACCTTCTCAAATGTGAATATTCTTTACTCCTCCACGACAGTAAACTGAATATCTTTTGGGTTGTTGACAAAATATGACATTTGAGGACATCACCTTGAACTTTGGGAAACAGCTATCGATAATTTTTTGACATTTTATGGACCAAACGACTTATAAAGATTATTATACAGATTAATCGATAATAAAAATAATCATTAGTTGCAGCCCTAATAAATGAGTGAGAGAAAAGATACACAAACACACTTTCCCTGTGGTATCAGTTTCTTTTAAAAGTTGAAATCGGTTCACAACAGCAGGTACACAGCTCTCTGTTGGAGGATATGTAGGCTGCATCTTAACGGTGTGTTGCTGAAGTGATTTGTAGAGCTTCAATCCCTTTTTCCAAACGTGTGAAAATGAAGAGAGTTAGGGCTTCCTTCTGGAGTCTTGCTGACAGGTCTTAAGGTAGGCAGGTAGGCATATTATTGCTCCCCTCCCCATCTCTAGTTACATCAGTGCGTGCAGTGTGGTTACAGGTTAATGTATTTGTTCTTAGGCTGTTGGTGATGATGGATTACAAGGAGGTTGAGCATTTTGGAAAATAGGTTGCTGCTGCTCAGTCTGAGCTTTTACTGGCAGCAGACACAGCTATGTGATGTCAACACAGTCCCGTCTGTACTGATGCTGCTTCCTGTGCATTGTGTTAGAAAATACAGCTGTTCGCATGAAGGCAGGTTCCTTTCATCTGTGGCTTTATTATCTTTGGGCTCTAAACTAATTTGCATTGTGGATGTGGTCTTTTTATGTGAATGTATGCCCATTAAAATTTTGGGGTAAAGCAGATGAGTGGCAGCTAGTGAAGAAGTGTCAATCAATAACCATAACAGCACACATAATTGAATAACCTAATACCTTAATATATAAAAGGGGAGATTATTAAGCTACAAAAACTGCTTTAGTGAGGTTTTCAGATAATCCCCCCAAAGCATTTGAATATATGTCAAATTGCAGAAAATTACGTCATTATTTTCTTTATTTCTGCTCTAATTGTGCCCCCCAAGAAATTTGGTTTTTTATGACGACCCTGACTGTAAACCCATCAACCCAGCTTTACTTTCATCAGACTGTCTTTAAAAAGTCAGAATTCTGACAGAAATATATATATATAAAAAAGGTGTATTCAGGTCATATTTTCACTGTGTACTGCACTGGCTGCATTGGCTCTTTGAAATTACCTTTTGTTGAGAGCTGTGAAAAAGCACAAGTGGAGACAGACAGTTGATCTTTTGTGCAGATTGCTGCTTTGTGAGCTCAAAAGTAAAATGGTTTGAAATACAATGTACTGAAGGACGACGTAGCCTTCCATCAAACTCTTATTTCCGTGTTTTGGTGCAGAGTTTCCAGCGCTGGGATCTCCCTGAGTCATTCATTTATCCTACATTTTGCACATTCTGCACATTTCACACTGTTCAAGCCCTTCTTTCTTCTACTTCTTCAGTTTGATCATTTGTTTATATGATTCTTATTATTCCTAACCACGCCAAATAAACGACATCAAAATTAAGCTAATCTTCTTTATCACCCCATTCATTTATAAAACCGTGAATTAGAAAAGATACCATAGATGTCGCACGTCTTCTCCTCTGAGAGAATTAAGTTTCTGGCAGGGTTTTACTCAGATTGGCTGTTTACCCTGCTAACCCACCTGAGAGGTCGCACATTAATGTTTTAGTAGCTCTTTGAGGTAGGAAACCCTAAGCTGTTTTAAAACCAGCAGCTCTGTGGAATTCTCCATTAGGTAAATTCACAGAGCACCGTGCAAACTGAGTGTTATTTTATGTATCTAAAGCCATTTTCTTCCATGTTGCCATGATATTATAGTCACCAACTTCATTTCTCTTCATCTGAGGACATGGCAGCTTTACAAATAGGCCCATTTGGTCAACACAAACAGAAGTTTGAACATATTACCTTTATTACATTCTTACCAGTCATAATATGTGAACCACGATAATTATAGGGACTAATAAATTATTGGCCAATAATGGGAAATTTATATTATTATAAATTATCCTGGCATTTAATTTACAGCTGATAAATTATTGGTCCATAATTATTATAATTTATTTTGAACTCAAAATGATTGATAAACTTTATGCTCTATGAAAGCCAAAGTATGTTTGTTGAGTTTTTTTGATGAACTATGGAATATTAAATCATCCATCGTTGCTCACTACATAGCCTTAGCCTTTCTTACAATCAGGCCTTTAAAGAAAAAACAGGTTATGAACTGAATGTGAAATTATTAGGTATCTTATCAGTATCGGCCATGAGGAGCAGGTAATTATTGTATCGGCTAAAACATTGTGCATCCCTAATTTTAAGTGTTTTTCAATTACAAATAAGTAATAAGATGTCATAACTGGGTTAAAAAGTTATAAAGGAACACTCTACAGATGTTATTGATTGGTTCACTTGTCATGCTTAGTGTCACTCGCATAATGTCTTCTGTGGCTTTGAAAGGAATACTCCAAATCCTGTTGATCATCATAAATTCAGAACAGAAACTCTCCAATACAAACTGAGGCCTTGGGTTTTGGAAGAATAGGCTTGGGGGGGATTTAACAAAAGACCATATTCAGTTACATTGTGGGACGTGATTTTGGAGCTAGACCCAGACTAGGGACTTAGTGTCAGGATATCTTGGCACTTTGGTGCATCAGATTTCTGTCCCTTATGAGTCCCCACCCCTCATGATCCTCTGACCAGTTTGGTTGCCCCTCCTGATGAACTGCCCCACATCTCCAGAATGTTATTGGTGGCTAAAATGTGATCATACAGACAGAAATGATGTCCAACACTACAAAAACAAGACTGAGTTTATAAGTGGCACACTACACCAGTGTAGTTGTGACGGTCAGTAACATTGTTAAATTAAATGTCACTGACTCTGAGGGGAACCACAGCAAATATTCCTGTGTGCCACAGTTTTGAATTGCTGCATTCGAAAAACGCTCTTTATTGATTATTCGCCGGTGTTTGACACATTTGTGCCTATGTGTATCTTGTGTATGTGTTTTAACTGGCCCCTTTGATTGATTTTCCACCTCCAAACTGGACTGCTTCCCATGTCTCCTACTTCCCTTGTCTTGGGAAAAGGCTTGAAGTTCCTCCCCCTCAGCTGGGACTCTGCCTGTTCGAATGAACAAGATCCCTGTACTTATTTACGCATTTGTGTTTCGGTGCGTCAGAGATGAAGTCTACTGTACACGTACACATGTCTTTGTGTATCCGTGTGTGTTTGGTTTCAGCACCTCCTAATCTCCTCACTGCATCCCTCCTCCCATCATGCAGGTTTTAAAGTCATTAACTTCTTTATCAGAATTTGCCAGCAATCTGCATTATTGTGAGAAGATAATTGGATCAGACTCTTCTCCTGAGTACATGCGTAAGGTAGAAACTCCAAAATGTAGTGAAATTGTAGTAATGAATCATCAAACAATCTGCAGCTTTACTGATTCAAAATCATCATTTAGAAAACATAAAGCAGCTTAGGATGACCTTGGTTCACATATAAACTTTTTCTATACAGGAAGTTTGCCTATTATTCACAGAAAATAGTTGCCTGCTTCGCTCTCTGCAGTGCTTTCAACCTCCCTGATGAATCCTTTTCCTCTCTGCAGGAGCCCGGTTGCAGTCGGCCATGGCTGCTACTGTTTGGCCCTGCTGAGGTCTGTGCCAGCTGCAGCCTACATTGTGCTGGTAACTGTTCTGCGGTACCATCTCTTCATATGGAGCGTCTTTTCACCCAAATTACTGTACGAGTCCATGCACCTGCTGCTGACTGCAGGAGTCTGTCTCTTCTTCTACACGATGGAGCAGAGCCACAGTTCCAGTAAGTCGTAGGAAGCCAAAGCCGCACGTCTTCCCATAAGGGATTCGCTTGAGTCAAAGGGTCGGACACAGTCTCTTAATGCTGTGTGCAAGACTTTCAAACTGAGACACTATAATATGCTTACCCTCACTCTGTAGTACACTGATCTGTTCACAATATGTGAGCAGATGCTTCAGAAAGAGTCCTTCCTCCTGACTCTGTATGTCTGGTTTGCAAAAAAATACTTTGAGAATGCACTAACAATGTATTTTTGAGTAGTCTATTTAAACATTTTTAATTCTTTCCCAGGAGAAAATGTTTGCAGATGAATAAAAGTGAAATTAAGTTTAAAAAAAAAGCTTTTTGAAAGAATATGTTTTCTTTACATATACATGTATATTATCTCAGGGACTGGTGTACGAGGAGCTACTTAGACATCAGTGCAGATGCTTTGCTCTGCATGTATAAGTGAATGACTTTGTTTCTACTGATGTTGAACAGCGTGTAAACATAAGAGCTTAGTAACAACCTGCACCCACACAGGTGTTTTCAATTATCCTGTCTGATTAGAGCTTGAAGGTTGAAGCTGGGCCGAGCAATTCTCAACAGCACTGAGAAAACATTTTGACATGTCACAGAAGGAAAAAGCACAGGTGTAAATAATATAAATTAATGATGGCTGAATTCCATTCAGCTGCTCCACTTTCAGGGAGCAGATATTGTGTATGCTGCCTGGCTGTCACTCATGTCCTGACTTAATGGGACACTTGAATAAAACAGAGCTGTTGTTTTTGGAGGTTCATTCGAGATGAGCCAGGCCTTCGCAGAATCGTGCCAGTTGGATTTGCGTCTGACTCGATGCCGACTGCATCTCTAACCTCACGACTGTGCTTCTGTAATTAACATGTCTTACATCATGATTATTCTTTTAACCTTGTTTATTGATTTTATGCTGATTTCAGGCTGCCAATATTTAAACCTGGCCAGGGACTACCGATGGAAACAAGCCTTTTGGCTAATTCTTACACACTCACAGCAGTATTTATTAATATGCACTGCGTCTGATAAATAGATAAAGAAACTATACGATATCGAGGCGGCCGCAGTTTTTAGACGCTGGTGCTCTCCACCGACTGCACATCCCAGGGCATCACTTAAAATGCCTGGCTGTCGCCTGATCAAAGAGCTAATGGGCTTTTGAACACAAAAACCACGTTTTGTAGAAAATCTAGATTGGTGACTATTAGCCTCATGTTGTGCAATGAAGCTTCAATCTGTTAACAAACATATCTTGTCTGGTCGGTAATAATAGCGATAAAGTTTATTAATATATCCGAACGTGGTTTAAAAAGTAGTCTACAGATAAGTATTCTTTGAAGGCGGCTGGAAACTGTACGAGTGGCCCGCGGCTCTTCGCCACCGCCTCCTGCTGCTGCCGCCTGATCTCGTCCACTTTCAAGGCGAAGAGCAGTTCATCTCAAACAAGCCTTAATGTTATTAGTAACATTTGAGCTTTTTCCTGCTGTGACAGGTCAAACTGTCTGCTGTGCAACAAAGGGAGACCTCAATCAAGTCTGTAACTGCACACACAGGCATAAGAAGAGGTCTAATCAGGAAACATAAGTGAACACCTGTGTGGGTGTAAGATGGAGGTGCACGGGGGGTGGGGGTTTAATGTAGGAGTTTTTAAGATATTTGTTTTTTTCATTTTCAGAAATGCTGTTCAAATATTATGTAATATTTATTTTTCCCTTTTCACTCTTAAAAGTATTTAGCCCTTCATTTACTGGGGACATTTTGGAAATGGCAGAAAGCTGCACTAGATATCTGTGTGTGTGTGTGTGTGAGCAGTTAGAACAATGGGGCTTCTTGTCTTGTCTTCATTTTAAGGTGTCTGTTTTGTTACAGCCGCCTGATAATCCGAATGTGTCAAAACAACCAGCAGGGAGACTGAACATTTCGTTAATTTATTTCAACACAGTCTTAACATCACAAGCGTTATTCAAAATACAGAATGAATAACTTTGAAATAAATAACAGTTACTTCAAAATTAACTCGCTACAAACTGGCCTTCTCTCCTGTTTCATGAGCCCGCCCTGTCTTCGTCGTCCCCCAGAGTCAGAGTCCTGGTCGGAGCCGCTGGAAATCACCTGGCCTCCGTCTGTTTTGTCAGTGCAGCTTATTTTTTTTAACTCACTAATTATTTCCACCTAGTTTTAGCAACAAAAGCCAGGAAAAAGTCCTCAGTCTCTACTGAGCGAAGCATTAAGATGGTTTCAGCTCATAATTCAGTCCAAACTTCCAGAAAGTGTTCAAACTGTAGTCAGCCCAGAAAAGAAAGCAAATATCATGGCGCATTATAAGGTATGTTTTATCTTTTTTTTTGTTATTTTCTGCAGCTCTAACTGAGACTTTATTAATTCAGTAGCAATTTTAGTGTCTTGGCAAGCATTTCTACTGCTTGTAATGTCAACTAGAGGTCTCCAGCACATCAAGAACACCAGACACGCTTTTTTTTTTTACATTCAACCTTTTTTTACTTGCTCTCCTTATGCAGCTGAATATACATTACAATTTGGATGTACAAGTGATATAATTTCCAGAGTCTGGCAGTGCTCTGCAGACTTATAAACTTCTTCAACTTGTACTCAATCAGTTCTTTCAGTATCACTGAGAATACCAACCAAAGGAAGGCTGGCAGGTGAGCTGGCTATCGTCCAAACCAATAAGAGTATTGGAGCCAAAAGAGCAAACAGTGTGCTGCTGTCTTGGTACTTATGGGGCACAATTTATTATTATAGTATCTCACTGATTGCTTGGACTCCATTTTGAAAGCAAAAATCAGAAAAGTCATAATTAAACATCCAGTGTGTCATAAACTCACGTTTGTTTATATTTATATCATAAAAGAACTGCAGCACCAGGGCGTTTTATTGTGAAGTTGTAAATTACAACATAAGAGCCAAAATAACACTTCCATTCCAGCTGTTATTTTTGTTGAGTTATGGGCTTCAGTGTTGTCAATGAGCAGCTGTTACTACTTCAAAGCTGCTTCCTAATGATTACCTGGCAGTTCTTACGTCATTACCTTTGAGACTTGTCCAGAGAAAGTTGAAAAAGATTTAGCGTTACAGCTACAGTGTGCAACTGTTTTACCTCTGGGCAGAAAAGTGAATCGTAAGTTCCCACCCCAACACTTGTCAATCACCTTGATGAGCTGTCTGCCCTGTAACGGCACCTCGCCCGAGGCTAAGATCACTGACATCTCCCCAAAGCTGCCACAAGCGTCGGAGAAGCAGATGCCAAAACCTAGAAAGGCAGAAAAAAAAAAAGCGATGCTGATGTTCAGTGTGTTTCTGAATAGATTTTGTCTGATGCAAGACGAGCTTCACACTTTGTTTTTGCTAGCAGTTGGGGTTGTTGCTGTGACTCACCTTGACAGGGACAACCTCAGCGTCGACTAAACCCGCAGAAAATGGAATATAAATGTCCCAAACATCATTGAAAAGTCAGACAAACAAGAGGATTTACATCTGAATACACAGGGTCACTGACACAGACACACGCTGCATATGGATTGCTGCAGGTTAGCCGGTTTGCATCAGAAGCAGGAACACATTTAGTTTTTGAGGTGACTGAGTTTAAGATTGAATAGGCCCTTTTTCTACTCATGGCATGCTGTTGTCAAGTGCCTTTTCCTCTCTTCAGTCGAATTAGGTATTAAACACACACTTCCAACAAAGTCTGATGGAAATAGTTTATGAACCAGATAATAATCTCTCTCGCAGATTATTCTGTCAGCGTCTTGTCAAACAGCCATTAAAATGTGAGTTTTTTTATGTTTTTATTTTAAGTTTCTCCCTTAATTGTAAGTTCTTTTATTTTTACCAAAATGATAACAACAAATTATGACAGTCACGTCTTTGACATTTAAGTTGGTTTACAAAATATAAAGAAGGAAAAGAAGAAATAAATAAAAGTAGTTATAAAAGAACTGTACACACAAACCGGACTAGATGGATCCAGAGAAATGGTGGTTAAAGTTGTGGAGACTTGTGATAACGAGGGCTAGCTGGTGATCATTCCTACACCCCATAATAAAGGACCATTTTGACAGTTTAAAGAGTGGTTGGAAGCTGGATGATCGCTCCAATGTGGACCAACAAAAGGTTCCATAATTCACCCTCTCTTAAGCCCCGCCCCTTGTTGTTCTATGCTCCAATAAAAGTTAATATTAGCAAAATTATAGTTAGCTAACATTTTGCTGACATGAGCTATCTAACATAAGATGTGACTATTTATATATCGCTTTACTCCGATAACAGGTAATGTTAGCTACATTCTGGCTAACAAGTTGGCTGATCTACCAATCTACCTATCAATTCCTATCAATATTCATAGCATATCTAAGCACAGAAAGCTGAGCGAGGCTTGCTCAACTGTTAGTGGAGCACAGAGCAAAAAGCGGCGGGGCTTAGGAAGGGTAAGATGTCATTTTTGAAGGCGATTTAAGATCATTTAAAATTAACAGCAATCCATGTTCTCAGTGTCAGATAGATTTTCTGTTCTGAGAGATGAAATAAAAATAATGTTGTTGGTGTTTCAGAGCACTCGGTGGGTTTTTATAGTGCTGAAGATCAATTACATTGGACTTCTCTCTGCATCTCATCAGCTACCTTCCACTGAAATGAAAACCTGTGACACCACTTTAGTTCTTTAGAGTTTTAGAAACTCCTGAAGTACTTTGGGTACATCCAGTTTGATAATATCATTATAGTGGTAATTTTTCTCGGTGCTGGCAGTGGATTTGTCGCCGGCGGCCAGCAATGTGATTTGTTATTCCTTTGTTTTTTTTTGCTGTTGATGATGCTTGGGTTTCTATAAGGGGGCATTTTTCAGCTGGGTTTTTACCAGTGAAAATGCTCAGCTGAGAGGAGAAAATAAGTCTCGATAAGAACTACTCTTTCATGAGAGGTTTTTTTTTTAAGTTGGTTTACTTTTTTCTTTTCCAACACCTCGTGGATCATCGTGTGAAACATGACTGCACCGGTGCAACAAGAAGCCTCAAAGCAGCTTCTCACAAATCTGATGGGACGACACTTTCTGTGCAAAATCATTCCTCTGTATCCGAAAACCTACTGGCCCGTGAAATGGATCAGAATAATTGTAGTGTCCACATGGTTGAAAGCTTTTAAGCACGTGTTATACATAACAGGGAAAAGTGGACTGGGTTTTTTGTGTGTGTTTGTGTATTTATTTGCATCTCCATCTTGTTATTGATCCTTCAGTTGACATGTAGACTGAATTTAGTTTATTTCAGGTCAGAGAGACGAAGATGTACAACACATATTATGGGTTTAGCCTTCAGTTTATTTTCCAGCTGTTAGAGCGTCATAACACACCTGTATTATCTGTGTTAATACACAACATTTATGCTTATTCTGGTTTTGATATAGTTTAAGGTAACGGTTCATGCTGTTTCTATGTGTGTGAGCATTTTTACCCCTCTGTGTTTCCCAAAAAAACGAATGATTTCTTTCTTTTTTCTTTACCTACTTCTGATTTCTGTCTTCTGAGCTTCGTTCTGTAACAAATGTGAAACAATAAAAAGTAAAAAGATTTCCCTAAATGATTTTTTTTAATCAAGACTTGCATTATTTATGTTCTTAATAATGAAATAAAGGATTTTACTACACTGAAATTTTAGTTCCCGTGTAATTTTTGTCAGCGACGAAAAAAAAAAAAAACTTTCAGAGCCTGATTCGCATATTTTAAGCAGACATTTTTAATAACAATTCATGCACAGTTCTCCTTTAATATTAGTGATTAGCTGCCCATTAAATTGTCTTTCAGCTCCGCGCAGCCTGCGTAGAGGCCATCTGTCTGCAGGCCTAGCCTGCTCTGGAGGATGGATGACATATGAGGCACTTTTCACTGGTGTTTCTCCTGTCAAAGTTTCCTACTGACTTAGTAAAACTGGACAAGAAACCATCTGTGAAAGTGCACCTAGCGTATCTCCACGTACAGTGTAGTAGTAGGAGGATGGTAATTTAGTAATCATCCCTCTATCTGCTATCCACCCACTAAATAATTATTTTATGCCTTCAGGAGCTGGACTTCAATGCCATCATTAAAGGAACCACACATTTCATGCTGTGCTCTCTTCTGAGTGGGAGTCTCTCTTAAAGCCTCCAAAGTGATGATGCACTTAAGATGTATTATTGCCCTGAAATCAGAAATGTTGCAGACAAAAAGCAGGAATTCAATTAATGGAAACTGTTTCTACAAAAGCCAGAAAGGTCCATGAATGTAGATATTTGCCAGCATTCACAAATTACTCAACACTACAGTTTTTATTTCTTAAAAAACATTATATACATATTTTCTTACCATTTACTTTGCACATAGAACTAAAAAAGGGAACTGGCCAACAAGTTTTTTTATTTTCTTTCAGATGTTAAGTTTCTGTGAAGCTTTTGGGCTCATTTGTTCGGTTATTTCAATCTGTTTGTCTTCATAATTGACATATATATTTAAATATCCCCTCCAGACATGTATTAACACACAGATAGTCTGCTTGGAACAATAATGTGTGTTGGAAAGTATAATTTCCACATTCAAACCCTTAAAAAAGGCATTGACTCCTTCTCCCTCATAAAACATTCAGAATCTATGAATATACAAATTTTATTCATTTCTAAAGTTTTGACAGTTCAACACAAGATGTCTCCTACTTCAGTCCATTCTCAGTGTCTGTGCACTGGTGCCTTCAAGTCTCTACATCACACTCGCACAAGTTGCATACTGGGACCAGGATTGACTTCCAAACTAATTGTGATGACACAAATCATGCTCGTAAGCCCCGCCTCTCAGTGAGCACAGAGAAACTTTCCACTTTCAGCAGATGAATGTAAAAACATCCTTCTAGAGTCAAACTCTGCACATATGTCATTCTGCACAGAGAGGCTCAAACATCCAAACTGTACAAGAAGAAAAACATATTTTTGAGTGAAGGGGTATTTTTAAAATGTCATTGCAAGAGCAATGTTTGTTACATCCATCTCTTCATGTTCCACTTACTCAGCTCCTGTGTCAGGATGGCGACCTTCTTTCCAGCCATGTCCTCCGGCTCTTGTGGGAGTTCTTGAGGCGCTTGCAGGCTAAAAGGGATATGTAATCTCTTGTGCACGTTCTGGGTCTGCCCCCAGGCAGGAGGGCCTGGGAGGAGGCCCTTGGTTTGACGTGTCCAGGAGGCATCCTGGTCAGACGCCCGGACCACCTCTACTGGTTCTTTTCACAGCAAGTGTAAAAAAAAACAGGACACACTTGACTCTCCACAGGCAAGTCTGGGCTAAAACCCTGCTTCGGTTTGCCAGACATGAATTAACCAAAACTAAGAGTCACCGAGCACATCCCACACTTTTTTTTGCCTCCACGATGACAGAGCCTGCAGTCCTCTTCCCTCACCTTGTCAGTGTCCTCCACCACAGGGCTTTTTGGGTGTCCACCACAACTGGCACAAATGACCTTCTGGACACAGACACTGAGTATCCGCCTCAGCAATGGAGGCTTTAAACATAGCCCATTCTGGTGGCTCATGAGAAACCCAAATCTGGATAGCACTTTGTACCCCAGGCAACTCTGGAAAAGGAAAGTATCCGATCTTTATCTATCTGTAGGAGTTTTGTTTCAGAGTTAGTGCTCTGGTTTCACATTATTAAAATTTCTTTTTTTGGTTGAACGGATGAATAACAGTAAATAATCATTTTTGACCCTTTTGTTCTTTGACACCATTCTTTTTTCTTCTTCTATACATCCCATTATCTTTAAAGCAGCTGATGTGAGACATAAACACATTCTTGGTTTCGTCACAGAGCTTTCACTGTGTTAGCCATCAAATCCAATCTCCACTATTGAACTGTACATCTCTCTCAAAGCTCCACTGACTACAAATCATATTATGGATTTTCAGGGCTACTGCGATAAAACTAGTTTGATCTCATTAATATATCTATGGTAATTTGAAGCTGCTATAAACAATATTTTAGTGTTGAAAATTGTTTACAGACGCAGCTGTTTACCTTAACAAACCCACAGTACACCACCTGTCCAGTACCCAAACAGCAGACTGACAAAGCTAAAGTTAGCTCAAGGTAGAGTGAGTATTGAACATACATACATCAGGAAACACGACTCCAAATGTTGATGTTTCTCCAAAACTCCTGAAAGTGTAAATTAGCAACTGTTTGCTAACAGACTGACCATATCAGCTCCAACGTCCAGTGTGTAGGCATCCAGCGGTGAGACTCCAGATCGCAACCAACTGAAACCTCTCGCACCAACGAAGCACGGATCAAGCCAGCAGCATTGGTGGTGAAAACAAACCTATCTGTCCATGCACTATTAAATTCTCTATTTTCCTCTGAGACTTTTTCTTCTTTTTAAATTTGGAATTCATAGATAGTCTAGCTCAGGAGACTCGAGACTAGTAGCCATCGCTATTGACTAAAAGGCTCCTTGTCACGAAGTGTTGAAACGTTTTTTTTTATGTGGTGTGTGATGGTTACACATTTTTACAATTGGAAATGGTAAGAATCACTTCAGGCCTACAACACTGATAAAATCTAAAAAGATAACTGTTACTCATTTACATATAAATTCCTGTCAAAGCCACAGGGAGCCGCTGGAGAGGGGCTAAAGAGCCGCAGGTTGCCTAACACCTAACATGGCGGACTCCGCAGAAGAGGACCTGCTCCCTCTGTAGATAGAAACGTCTCACTCTAAGGTAACAAAAACACAAACATTCTTATTTTCAGATGATTATACACTAAAGAAAACATACCCATGATTATTATATTCTTTTTCTGCCTATAGATTCCCACTAAATGTTACACACTGGACCTTTAAAAGATGATGCAGCTTGTTTCTGCTGTTCTCATAGCCAAACAATCAGCCAGTGCAGCTTTAAATAACAGCTAAATGAGATTATGAACCATATTGAAATGAAAAATAAACAAAAGAGAGATTCTGCTCTGTGAAATAGGCAGGTCCTACCTTTACAGAGTGATGTCTCTTGAAACCATCAGGCGCCTCTGTTTGTGTGCATGTGAAAGAGCATAAATCACGCTGTCATAAATCAGTAAGCATATTGCGCCTCCTCAGCATGTTGATTTGTATGTGCTCCTTATTTCTCCCTCATGTGAAGTAAGGACTATCCCTCTCTGGCCGTCCAGCGGAAAATACAAAAACTAATTACAGGTATAGACCAGCTGGAGAACTAAATTGAAGGTGTGCCTTTGAGTTGGAGCTTTCCCTGTAAAAGCGACCTTACCTCAGCTGCACCACTCCGCTCTTTTGATGCTCCAGGAGTTGTCTGCTAAGTGGCAGATGGCAGCGAGCCAAAGAGGTTATTGCAAGTTTAGAGCTGGCTCCCTCTGAAAACACAGCCACTGCAGAAGCTATTGATTGACGCACGACTCACTCTGTGGCTGCAGACGCCGCCAGGGTTCCCCTTCTCCCTTCACTGCATCTCTGCCACACTTTCTGTTCCAAGCTACTGAGAGGAATCCAGCTCACTAAAACTCTGCTCAGTTGTTAAGAAGCCTGGAGGGAAACACTTGCTGTTTGCATAAAATTACTACTGGCTTGACTTATAGAGCAGTCGAAAAGCTGCTTGTTTACCCATCGTGAACTACATTTCACCGCCTGCATATAGATCATTGATTGAATCATTCTATTAGACTTAGATAGAGATTATGAGTTCATGTCACGGCAAAAAATACGGAAGTGATTCTGACATGAAAAACTGAAAACAGAGTATTTTCACTCCACCTTAAGTGTCAGGATGTGTTGAGAACGCTTCCTGGGATTTGCATAATGACTCCATTCTCAGAATAATATAGCAGTGTTTCTCTTGGAGAAGTTTCAGGTGAGAAATGTGGCACTCAGCAATTCCATTAACATTCTAATTTTCAGTATTAAGAAGTAGATGAACAAACTAGCCAGAAGTTAGCTCGAAAATAAAAACCTTTTTCCAGCAAATGATGTTCATTAGTTGCCAGACAAATAGAACAAACAGACATCTTGTGCAGAGAATTTGGTTTATACTCAGTTTAAAAGATAATTAAATTGCAACAGTGGGGGAAAGCATTCATTAAGTGTTAATTCAGGAGGCCACCATGTGAGATGAGTCGATTGTAATCCACAAATCCAGCTGCAGGTCGGTGAAGAGTCCAAGTCGGTCATTAAAGTACTGTTAAGTCATCCATGACCCTCATTGACCACTTTTGGGCAACCAGCAGGCGGTCAATTGAACCTTTTCCCCATCTATACACAGTCTGTCTGTCCGTTTGAATTACAGTAGCCTGTGAAGTGATACAAACAATGATGTCACATTTTTACAACAGTGGATATTTCTGTAGTTTGGAGATTTATTTACAATACAAACTGTTGGATAGAAACTAGCCAGGAATCTCAACACCTGGCTGAAATCACTAAATCACTGGTTCTGATCCTCATCAGCCTCCCGCAACACCAACTAGGGCACTGTATTGATCCAAGTCTCCACATGTTTGACTCAAGAATTAAAAGTCCTTATTGACTAAGGACATAGTAGTTTGCCAAAGGATGACACTGTCTTCATCAGTGGATGGGGTTGAGCTATGGTAAGATAATCCTTTTTTGAG